AGAAGGCCCTGCTCCAGCGCCAGGCCTGTGACCGGTGGTGTCTGGCTCGCACCCTCCGCAAGCACTTCCACTCCATCCCGCCAGCCGTGCCGGGTGAGGACAAGAGCATGCATGCCATGCCCGGGTTCATCTGGCTCATCCGGAGCCTATATGAGATGCGGGAGGAGCGGCTGGCCAGGAAGGCTGTGCGTGGGCTGAAGGTGGGGCACCTCAAGTTGACATTTTGTAGCGTGGGCCCCACTGAGTGTGCTGCTCTGGCCTTCGTGCTGCGGCACCTCCGGCGGCCCGTGGCCCTGCAGCTGGACTACAACTCGGTGGGTGACATTGGCGTGGAGCAGCTGCTGCCTTGCCTCAGCATCTGCAAGGCCCTTTAGTGAGTGTTGCTGGGCATTGCTGGCCAGGTATTGGGGGGTAATGCCATCATGAGGGCAAGTATGGCATCTGGAAGTCTGAACCCAGCCCCAACTCTGTCACCTTTCTGTGCAACCCTAGACAGATCCCTTCTGCAGCCTCGGCCTTAGCTTTGATACATGCTAATGACAGCCTAGGTACTGGGCACTCTGCTGCACTCTGCAGAATATCTCATCTAATCTTCACAACCACCCTGGGCTCTAGGGCAGCGACATTATTATCACTATTATCATTGATTTGAAGCTCAGAGAAGCCAAGTAACTGGTCTAGGGTCACACACGAAACGCCAGAGTTGGTTTTACTACTCATGTCTTTCTGGTTATACATTTCCTGATCCCCACAAGAAACTTGTCTAGGGAACCAGTAGTTAGCGTAATGGCTATGTCGCTGGACTCCCATGTAGTCGACCGCGGTTCGTGTCCTGGACCCGGTGCCTTAAAACTCACGCCGGGCGCGTGTGCGTGCGTGCCCAAGATCCCGAGAGGAGAATGGAGGAGAAGGGATTGCGGCGTGACCATCCCCCCTGGGGGGTGATTTCTCGCTTTCTGTCTCTATGTCTCTCTCTGTCTGTCTGGCGAGTGCACGTGCCCTACAGTGAAAATCTCTCAAAAAAAAAAAAAAAAAAGAAACTTGTCTATGGCTGCCTTCAAGAGCTCCATGAACTCTATTAAGGTCACATGCAAAGTTTCTTGTAATATAAGTCTGTATTATTCATAGAAACTGCCTCTGATCAGAGATGACTTGTGCCCCATCAGAGGTTTTAAAACCCCAACAGAAGGGGTCAGCAGCTGGTATGGTGTTCAATGCGCTAGACTCCAACATGGCTTACCGCAGTTCAAGTCCTAGACCTGGCAACTTGCTTTCCCACTTTCCCCTTCTCTCTCTCTCTGACAAATTAAAAATAATAATGATAATGGTAAATAAAACTGAATAATTTTTTGAAGATAAACTCCAGGGACCAGCAGATGGCATAATGGTTAAGTGGCTGGACTCCCATATAGTCGACCGTGGTTTGTGTCCCAGACCAAGTGGCTTAAAACTCATGTTGGGTGCATATGTGTGTGTGCCCAAAATCCCAAGAGGAGAATAGAGGAGAGGCATTGTGGCATAACCATCCCCTCTGGGGATGACTTCTTACTTTCTGTCTCTCTGTCTCTTTGTCTCTCTGGTGAGCACACACACCTTATTGCAAAAATCTCTTAAAAAATTAATAAGACAGGAATTTCAAGAGGTGTAAAGTGGCTGCAGTTTTGCTTGCCCTTTTATTGCCTAGGCAATGCAATACCCAGACAGGATTTCAGCATTACCCATAATGCTTTCAGCTCCCTGGCTGAAGGTGTGCGGTTTTGCCCTTTGGAACATCTGTGATCCTGAACCTCTGGCCTCTTTCCATATCTTGGGGCAGGTGAGGGCAGGGGACATGCCCAGATTTGACAACCAGTGTACTGTGGGCTTCCTGGCTTCCGTGCCGGCCACGAAAGAGATGATTTGCCTCCTATTGAGAATCTCTGGGAAAGCAGAGGTTGTAGTTTAAGGTTAAAATTTATTTACAGGCTCCTGGAGCTTTGGGCTTGCCCCTAGAATGATCTTAAGTGACCCTAAGCAAGTGACATATCTCTAAGAATATACTATATGGTATGAGTTGGGGGAGGAAGGGATGAGTTTTCAAAACCTTCATGGAAAAGGCTTATTTTGAAAGTTATACATGGATTTCACAAAATTTTGTTTTTACTGAAGTAAACTCATATTTTAATTGCATTTTCCATGAACTTTTTTTTTGGGGGGTGGGGAGATTTTTGCTTATAAGCACTTGTACTTACTGGAGAGACAGAAAGAGGCAGAGAGACAAAAAGCGAGAAATCACCTTCCAGAGGGGATGGCCACATCGCAATCCCTTCTCCATTCTCCTTTCAGGATTTTGGGCACACATGCACATGTGCCCAGTGTGAGTTTAAAGCCACCAGGTCTGGGACTCGAACTGTAGTTGGCCAGGTGGAAATCCAGCGTAACCACTATGCCATCTGCTAGCCCTTCCATGAACTTTTTGAAGTCCCCTCATATATCTTCTCTAAGGCAAAGCAACGAGATTTTTTTCTCTCCATGGAACAAAGACATGGATGATTATTGGAAACCATGGAGTGACTTTTTGCTAACCCTGACTTAGTGGTCATAAGTTCATAAAGTAATAGCAATGTAATATATAACATATGATATATAGTTAATACATATCATGTGTATAGCATATACAGTTACTGTATATAAATATGGGGCCCATGGCATGGTGGTTAAGGTGGGTGGATCCCACATGACTGTCAGCACAGTTGAATCCTGGATGTGGCAGCTTGAAGAACATGCCAGGTGTATGTATGTGAGCTGAAAATTCCAAAAGGCAGGAGGAATGGAGGGAGAGAGATGGCAGCGTGAACATTTCCCATGGAGATGACTTTCTCACTTTTTCGCTCTCGTTGTCTCTCTCCCATGAGTGCATGTGTCTTATGGAAATTTTTTTTTTTAAAACGAAGACTATAAATATGAATACAGCCCTGAGCAAATCTGCCACACTTACATTGAATAATTTGGAAAGAGTTTATTTAATAAAGGAAGGTAGTTACAAAGGCATGAACAGAAGTTAGGGAGAGCAAAGAAGCATGGTGCAGGTCTCTGGAGGTGGGGTGCTACTTCCTGAAAAGCAGGGCAGGAGGTGCAGATAGGACTGCCTGAGCTACAGGCGCCTGCAGGGTGGGCTCTGGGAGAATGGTGTGGCTCTTCTTTCCCTCTGGACTCTAGCCTTCTGCCATTTCTTCCTCTGAGCCCCCTAAGGAGGTGCAGCAGGCTGCCAGCTGGTGTATTCTAGGTGTCAGCCTCCCAAGACACAGAACCTAGTAGAGAAGGGAGAGTGGAGTCAACCAGGGAAATGGAAGACAGCTAGCATAGCACTGTTTCCCTGGGATGGAGGAATCTTGCTATATTGTCTGGGGTACCAGGAGACCTGACCATGGGAGCTATTTTCCTGATAGAAATACAGATGTGCATCTTCTGGGAGGTGGACCCAAGAACTTTAAGAGACCAAGTACCACTGACCTGCATGATCCTCATAGGCCAGTCAGTGACTAGTATTCTCAAATGGATCTTTTCTCCTCCATTAGTAATGTCTGCACGATGCCTCTGGTGTGTATAAAGGTTGATGGAGGCTCTATTTTCAGAGAAGGGTGAGGATGCCCCTGTTCTAGCTCAAGGTGCTCAGTCTGTAGTGTATAAAGGTGCTGTTGAAATGCACATTACTCGGCCTGCTCCCAGTAATTCCCATTTGATAGGTTTGGGGTAGGGACCCAGGAATTTATAGTATCAATAAACACCCCTGGTGATTCTGATACAAATGGTCCAGAGTGCACACTGTCAGAACAGCTGATCTGTAGGAACCCGTTGATTTTCTGTCAGCACTTAAAGTCCTTGACCAAGTTCTACAAGAATCACCAGTTCTTTTGGGAAGGGGGAGGTAACTGTGAGGTTGCTGCATGGGTATTTCCTGTGTGTGTGAGAGAAAGACAGAGAAAGAGAGAGAGAGAGATCTGATCTATCTTACTGTCTATAGGCAGATAAGGAGCCAGACATTGTCTCTGTTGTTCTCAGAATATAAACCAGGGGCCCCTCTGCTTCCTGATTCCTGGGGCCAGCTTTAAAGGTATCCTTTGGCCTCCCTGAACGGGGAGTGAGTTACAGGAAGATGGCAACAAAGCAGACACTGTCCTTAGTCCGGTTTGTGGACAGACCGAGAGAAAGGCAGAGAAAGATGCGGGAAGGGAGGAAGGTGGGTGGTGTGGGAGGTGGGACAAGCTTGTCGTCCGTGGCACAAGCTGCATCTTTTCTACTTGAAGTGTTTCCATGCCAACTGAGAGCTTCAGCCTCTGGGAAACCTTGTATACTAAGTGGCCCTACACAGGTTTCTTAAGACGCTGACTCTCTCTGACTGTCTGGGGTGACAGCTTTCAGAGTTGTTTTTTGTTTGTTTGTTTGTTTGTTTGTTTTTTTACTTTGACCCACAGTGAAAAAGAGACAGAGAAGAGAGAGAGATCACACCAGCATGTAAAGTGGAAACAAAGGCTTCATTTTCATGACTTTCCCTTATTAATTCTGATACGCTCTGGTCTCTTCTGTTTTGTTCTATTTCAGTTTTAAAAATACTGCTCAGGGCCTCAACACTGGTTTCATGACCCACTAGCAGGTCCCACGATCTGGGTTCTGAAAATCACTGCTCTAGAGAACCCGTAAAAGGCCATGAGGTAGAGCTGCATAATGCCGCGTGGTTAAGAGTGGGATGTGGCGCCAACCCACGCAGATTCTAATTCTTTGTGTGCTCTGCAACTTTGGCAAAGTCATCTTACTTGTCTGTGCCTGAGTTTCTTCCTCTCTAAGGGACATAATCATAATATCTACTTCAGGGGCTGGTTGTGAGGATTAAATGTCGTTGCTATTGTGAAGTGCTTAGGACAGTGCCAGGCAGAGACCTATGCTAGCGATCAGGACTGCAGGTGACTTTTACCAGGGACCAAGTGCTCACGGGGCTTTATGTGGGTGGCCTGATGAGGTTGGCGAAACTACTGTTCCCTTTGTCACATTGGGTGGTTGGAAAAGTCATGATATATTTTTCCATGCAAAAATGCATCAAGACTTTTCTGACAACTGAATAAATGAAAGGACCAGCAAATAAGCTAGTTAAGTGGCTAACTGGGATAAGAACTTCCAACTGAGGAACTCCAGAGCCTGAGCTGTTAAGTCAAGGCCTCCCAAGTATGCCTGAAGATAAAGAATCATGTGCACAGTTGTTAAAATCTACCGATCCCTGGGTTCAACTCACACATGAGAAATTGCCAGCTTCAGGGTAGAGGCCTGAGAACCTGCCTTTTAGAGAAGCTTTCTGATTACCCTGTGATCAGGTGAGTTTTGGAAACGATGCCCTAAAAGGAAGATCAGAGAGGGCTTGCTGGGCAGGGTCTGGCCTGCAAGTATGGTCGACAAGCCCTTACTAGGGGGCTTACACAACCTACATGGATACTTCCTAAGTGTTGACCATGCTCGTCTAACTGGTCTACCATCTGCAGTCTAGGTCTGGCTGCATCTTCTCTACATATCAGCTCATTTCCACCCGGACCCTTCTATGACTGTTGTGGTGTTCATTTTCCATTTACAGAGATGAAAACAGCACCTCAAATTAGTTTTGTGACTTCCTGAAGAGTCTAGTGTTTCTTTGTAGGGGCTCTGAGTCCCCATTTCCTGGTCTATCTCCAGCATAGGGCACACATCAGCTCCCCAGCCAGGGATGGTGGGGTACCTTACTTTTCTCGGGTGCTCTGTCTTTGTGGTGTTTCCCAGAAACACAGATGCTAACACTCTGGGGATGAGTAAATTTCTCTTTTAGGCGTCTTGTACATTTTTCCTTTCTTATCAGCTTCCTTAAAAGATTTATTTATTTTGTCTTTTAGTTTGCGAGATAACAATATCTCGGACCGAGGCATCTGCAAGCTTATTGAACATGCTCTTCACTGTGAGAATCTGCAGAAGTTAGCGTAAGTTGGGTGCACAAGGAGGACTTTGGGCCCCGTGTTCCCCCAAGTCTCACCCGAGGCCATGCTGCCTGGGCAGCTTGGGTATTGGGTATTTGCATATTGGAGGGTGCAGAGTGACTTCTGTCTGAAGGGAATGAACACTGTGAGTTCTCTGTCCACTGTGCCTTATCTTCATGTCTCTTTTTCTTCTGGAACTTACCAGTCTGTTCAACAACAAACTGACTGACGGCTGTGCACATTCCATGGCCAAGCTCCTTGCCTGCAAACAGAACTTCTTGGCATTGAGGTGAGCCTGGGGCTTTCTTATTCCCTGAAAACTGATTTTTTTCCCCATAGCTGAGTCAATCTGGTCTGGTCTTGGTCCTGGCCCAGACTATGCTGGGCTTGCGACTTTCTGAATAAATACAGGGCAAGTGTCCCATCTTAAGTGGGGTTTCTCTAATACTATGGCTCCTGGGGCAAACTGACTCTGCTGAGGGCTTTCTGCCTATGACCTGAGCACCCAAGGTGAAGACACACTCTTAGACTCTCTTCCTTCATTGCATGTAAGAATGTCACATGCTCTCTGGGGTGACCAAGTTCCCTGATGCTTGGTGAGCCTAGCCTGCTGGAGGAGGCATATGCAGTCACTTGTCACCTAGCATGGCAGCCACTTGTTGAAATGCGCCCATGTGAGGTGTGTAAAGTTTGCACTCCCAGCTGAGAAGTCTATATTACTGCAGCTCCAGAGCTTCTCAGCTACAACTGGAGTCCCTCTCACCTAACACTATTAAATTAACTGTCCTTCCAGCAGGTCCCTGGGCTGGCCTGGCTATTCTTTCCCTCTCTTGGATAGTCCTGCCTCCTGTTGTTAGTGAGGCAGTAAAAGAAGACCAAGTGAAGAGTTGCTTCCACCCATTCTTCCCAGCTGCTGGCTAGGTTTGTTTGGGGATAGAAACCACCATTTTAAAATGCTGGCCAGGTAGCTCGGTCTCAACCAGAGCCAGTCTGGCCAAAGGACGGTGTGCCACCACTTCCTGCTCCCTCAGACTCACAAACCTGGAAGTGGCCAGACCTGGCTTGGCCTGTCTCTCTAGGGAGGGCTGTGGTTAGCAGAAGGGTGTTGGACTCAGGGTTGGAGGTCTGGGTTAGTGGCCATTAGTGTTGTAGTTGACAGCAGACAGCTCTGGAACCAGACTGTCGGACGTTTGACTCCAGGATCACTGGGATTTCAGTCCTTGTTAGCTGTGTGATCTTGAGACAGCCCAATGTTCCATGCCTCTGTTTCCCCTTCTATAAAATGGGGCTGATATCAGCAACCTCATAGGTTGTGTGATGAGTGGAGGAGCTAACATTCATCCGGAGTGGGCACGGTATAGTAAGTGAGCTCGGTGGCTGCAAGTCCGTGGATAGACCAGGTCAGCTCTCGGCTCGTCTGTCTGCATGTTAACCCAGTGCTCCAAGAAGGGACTGGCTGTGCAACAGAAATATTGTGGAAATGCCTCTGAGGGGAAGGGAGTTAAGGAGGCTGGGGGTCTGACCCTGAGTGAAGGACAGAGGGAAGAAAGGAAGGTTGGGAGGAAGTCCCCCTGGACTTCAGAGCAGCACTGAGAGCTCAGCAAGCCGGCTGGGGAGTCCTGGAGCTCAGTGTACCTGCTGGGAACAGCCCATGGCCTCAGCATAGACAGTTGATGTTAGATTTCAGAGCACAGCAGCTGAGCCCTAAGTTCCCTACAGGGAGTCGAGGTTGGAGGCCTAATGGTGCATGCTGGTGGCCACCACACGCCTTCCTAAAGGGGATAATGATACCTGCTCTAGATGATTGTGGTGAGCGGGAGAGGCCTAAAGTTCTTTGAAAAGATGAAAGCCCGTGCTTACTTCCAGGAAGCCTGGTGTTTCAGTCTGTTCTGTTGCTAATAACGGAAAATACCTGAAACTGGGCAAATTATAAAAATAGAGGTTTATTCAGTTCATGGTTTTGAGTTCTAAGGTACTGGGGCCACATCTGGTGGGGCCTTGCAGAGTCGCACAGCATCACATTCCGAGGCTGAGAGCCAAGCCGAGTGGCGGTGTCTATCCCTGCATCTCTGTTCTGGTTCCATTCCCTGTCCTTATAAACCCCCTCAGGACCTGATCACAGGGACCCCACCTTACTCACTCCTAAAAGTCCCACCTTTCAACAGCATGCAGGTGTTACCTTAATACCTTTACAGTATATCCCAGTTCCTGTGTGTGAATTTGGGGGACACCCAAACTCTAGCACTTGGGGTAGTGGGTAAGAGTTCTGGAGTTTCTTTGAAACTCTCTGAGGTGTCTGGATTTGGCTTCAGCTGGTGCCTTCCTTGCTGGGATCCCTGATCTCCCAGGCCTGGCTGCTTCTGGATGGCCCTGGTCCCTCCAGCAGTGTCTGTCCCTCTTGGGGATGGCAGAGGGCACTCCCAGAAGGCCCCTCTGACCTCCCAGCCACCTAGGTCTGCCCAGGGCTCTTACAGAACAGGTCAGTGCTACCTTCAGCAGCAGGGGTCTAGGAAGGCCACTGGGAGCCCTAAGGTCTAGACGGATGGTAGCTGAGATCAGATCGGAAGGAAAGGTGTGACAATGAGTCACTGTCACTCCTCTGGGGAAACCACCTCCCAGGACAGCTGTCTGTGGCTCCTGCCCAGACCTGACATACTGCTCTGCCAAACAACGGCCCCATTCCCTTTCCTTGTTGAGTAAGCTCAGCCTGGCAGGAATGGTGCATACCCAACCTGCTGTACCCTGGGAGAGGACCTCAAAGCTTTCTTCCCCTGCCCCTGCCCGGTACTGACAGCCTCTGTCCCTGCCCTTCAGTGACTCTCAGCTTCTGTCTTCCCTTCCAGGCTGGGGAATAACCACATCACCGCCGCAGGTGCCCAGGTGCTGGCTGAGGGGCTCCGAGGCAACACATCCCTGCAGTTCCTGGGGTATGTTGGGTTCTGTGGCAGAGGGGCCTTCATGGAGGAGTTGGGGGCTTTTGAAGATTTAGGGGACGATGAACCTCTTTGGCCAGAAGGCCCCAGAGGCAGCCTAGACCCACTGAGGAAGGCGATCCAGGAAGAGAAGGGCTACCCTTGGTGGTGGTCTCTGGGCTAGCTTCTTCACCAAACAGGAAGTTCAGGATGTCAGAGGTGGAGAGAGCTGTACCCATGAGCTGGTGACAGAAGTCCCCTAGTCCTCAGGGGAGCTTTGGCTGCACATGAGAACCACTTGGGAGCTTCTAAAGAATACCATTGATGGGGCCTTGCCCCAGACAAATGCAATGAAAATACCTATGACCAGGGCCCAGGTATCAGTAACTGAGAAAAGCAGGGGAGTAAACGGGTGAGGACCCCGGGCTAGGACAGAGAAGGCAGAGAATGGACTCAGGATGAGAGGGGGCTGCCCTGAGTCTACAGAGCTCTTGCTCACTCTAGCGCCACCCGAGAGCCTGCAGGTGGGGGAGAGGCATCCGAAGGGTGGGGATTGCTCTGCTTGCTGGGCAGAGACCCAGCCCTCTGGGCTGTACCCAGGCCATACTGAGCAGCCCCTGTCCAGTCCTGTTGTGCCCTGGTATGAACTGGGGTTTATTTGTCAAGAACTGGGGATTTTAGAAACCAAAACTGTAGGAAGCGAGAATAACCTTGGGGCCCAAGTATTCCAACTCATTTCATAGGCAGGAAAGCTGTCCACTTTTTAGCTCAGTCTGAACCAAGGATGGGACTGTGTTGCTCTGGAAATCAGAACCTTTTTTAAGCTGCCTTGGCAGCAACAGAGTTGAGAACAAAGTAGGCCACAGCCTCACTGAGCTCTCGGCTGCTTGAAGCCACAGGTGCCACGTCTAGGTAATTATTTCTCTTTCAGTGTTTATTTCTGAAGGCACTTCCCTGGGCCAGGCACTGTGCAAAAATCCCCAAACAGTGTCATAGAGTACAAATTGCTCTGTAACTTGCATTGTTTTGTTTTGTTTCACAAAATATTAAAAGCGTCTTCTTATATTATTATAACCTCATTTTTAAAAAAATAGGTTTTTGTCATAGGGCTCACCGCAGAGACAGAGAGAGAAAGAGAGAAATTAGCAAACCCGAGGGGATGACCATGCCGCATTCCCTTCTCCTCCATTCTCTTCTCAGGATCCTGGGCACATATGCACATGTACCCAGTGTGATTTTCAAGCTGCTAGGCTGGGCCCAGGACTCGTACCATAGTCGGCCATGTGGAAATTCAGTACCTTAACTACCATGCCAACTATTGGTCTCTCTCTCTCTTTTTAAGAAAAGCTGCATGGGGGCTGGCAGATGGTATGGTGGTTAAAGGTACTGGACTCCCACGTGACCAACTAAAACTTTTTCTTGAAATTAAAAAATGCATACCTATTAATACCTATTTAATGACTGCAGTAAGCTACATAGCTCCAGCGAGGCTCTACTTTATAGTATGTTCACTTTACTCACTGAGGCTTATGCTTAAAGTCAGACTTGCATTCTTAAATATGTATGTATCAGCTGTGCTTGATATTGAAAGTCTTTAAATGAAGAACTTTAGTGAATCAATAAAATGTGAAAAAATGGCATGGAGGGGCCAGTAGTTACCGTAATGGCTATGTTGCTGGATTCCCATGTAGTTGACCGCGGTTTGCGTCCCAGACCCGGTGGCTTAAAACTCACGCCGGGCGCGTGTGCGTGTGTGTGCGTGCCCAAGATCCCGAGAGGAGAACAGAGGAGAAGGGATTGCGGCCTGGCCATCCCCCCTGGGGGGTTATTTCTCACTTTCTATCTCTCTGTCTCTCTCTGTCTGGTGAGTGCATGCGCCCTATAGCATACAAAACCTCTCCCCCCCCAAAAAAAAGCATGGAAAACAACTGTATATACCAGAGATAGTGTGGGAGAAGGGGAGAGTTGGTAGAGGGTGAGAGGTAAGGAATCAAGGGGAAAAAAAAAGAAAAAAAGGAAAATATATAAGAAGCAAGAAATAAAAAAAAATATTTGTTGACGATAACATGTTTGGTGACATCCTTGATTGTATCAATATATTAGGTATACTGGATGGAAAATCTCATTTTTATATACTATATTGATGTACAGTGAGTTACTGTAAATAAATAAATAAATAAGAAAAAATTAAAATGAAAAAAGCTGCATGGGTGCTGGTAGGTAGTATGGTGGTTAAAAGTACTGGATGGATAATAATAATAATAATAATAATAATAATAAATAAAATTAAAATAGTTATGTTTTAAAAAAGAAAAGCTGCATAGTATTCTACTACTCGGATGTCTTGAAACTGTTTATTGGTCACCTGTTCATGCACAGCTAGACCATTCCCAGGTTTTCTGCTATTACAGTGTCACGTGTCCAGGGCACAGAGCGGGCTGGCATATAGCCAGAGCTCTGTAAAAGTTTACTAGTGAACGCTAATGCAGCGAACATCGTAGGTCAGCCATCTTTGCTCATTTGTACACATACGTGCTCCTCTTATGTACAATACCCAGGTCAGAAGGTCTGAGCCGGGCTCTACTTTTTTTTTTTTTTTTTTTTTTTGAGAGGTTTTCACTATAGGGCGCATGTGCTCGCCAGACAGACAGAGACAGAGAGACAGAAAGCGAGAAAT